TTAAGTAAGGACACGCAATTCGCGGCTGCCGCTATATATGAAGAGATGTATGGCAAGGTAGGTAAAATATATTTACCTTTATTACCCGAATGACAGTATAATGGCACTATACCAGTTTATAGTATATTATGTCCGTAATGGTATTTATTTATAAGGTATAAAACAATATGCTTAAAAATACGGGAAAAATATGATTTTAAGAATTTTACACGTATAATATTAGAACATAAAAATAACACAAAAACTTCGTGTTCGTTCGCAAATGTTCGTGCTTCCGTTTAGTTCCCTATACCCCCACGGAGCGCTGCTTGTTGTATCGTGAGAATCAATTTATTATTATTATTATTTTACGGATTGGAGTTTCTTTGTAAGAAAGGAAATCTCTGTAGATTTCCGTCCGTATTCAGACGCGCGTCTAGTTGCACTCTTTTAACTGAAGTACTGTTTCTGTCAAATTATGTCTATTTTGTGTTCAAAAATGTCAGGTAAATTACTTTAGTTAACGGTGCAATTCGATTGATGATATTTTTAAGGGGAAATAAGACGTCTCAAAGAATCGGTAAAATAACTATTATTTGTTACAATAAAACAGAATAACTGAAGACATGAGTGAACAAATATTACTCCTAAACAAATTCATAGTTAAAATTCTGTTTCTTTTACATCGTTTATGAAGGTCACTTCAGCCAAATTTTACAGATTATCCAAAAACCAAAGAGAACTAAATGTCAATTTATTAAGACATGTACAGAATTTTTTGCTCTACATTGTCCTATTTAATTCGTTTACATCACAATTAGTATTATTTTCACTTATTTATTTTTATCAGGTACCCAACAGCTTACTTGATTTAAAATTCAACGCAAGAAAAAAATTGCCATGGAAATTTAAATGGCCTTCACGTATAGCGCGCACGTAAAAAACGAAAGTGCGTCTGTCGCAATTTAGGTGTTTACATACCCCCGTAAAGGGGCTGGTTAAGAACCTTCTTAAGTACCGGTAACTCATAAAGCCAGGCTCACGAGTCCGTTGCCGTCATTTTAAGTATTGGTTTCCTCATATATCGCTGTTTCCAGGATTTTCCCGAGAAAGACTCTCGTGGGGTACCAGCGACATACCAGATAATAAACTTTGTGGGGTGGAAACCTGACCCGACACAACCACAGCCACGAGAAAGAGGCACCGGGGAGGTCTCCCTAAAAGATTTACATAGAATCGACGAAATAATAAAGCATAGTGATAAAATTGAATTGAAAGATGAGGATATGAAATAAATTATATGATTTAAAGCGGGTTTTATTAAACACCTATACCTGGGGTTGAGACAAAATCACTTTGCGACAAGCGTTACCCACCAAAGGAATTTTTTATGAGAACGGAATTAGCCTGTATACCAACCAATTTGTTTCATTATAAGTAACATTGTTTCATGACCTATTCCCGATTGTTTGTGAGAATTACGCATTAACAAAACAAACTCGGCATAGTTTCGTAATTCTAAAATATTGTGTTTGATTTGTGTTAGTAAAATTATACTCTTAGGGATAACAAAAAAAGGTAAAGTATAGAGATATGATTTCGAGTTTTTGTCCGTATTCATATTTTGTCAGCTGGTTTGATTTGTGTTATCTGCGTTTATTTTAATGTTCTATAAAACCACAAAAACTTGACAAGTAGAATACTTGACTATTGTAATTTATTAAATGGTAACATCGATGATGGACTCCGCGCGAAAGTTATGATTCTAATTGGGGTTAGTAATGGAACGTTACTTCGATTCCCGAAAAAAATATCGAAGTTTTTTTGACTAACTAAACTTTTGTTTTAATGTTTGCATATGTGTAAGCGTTATTTAGAGCTAGCAATAGGACAGTGTTTAGTCTATATTTGTACGACCCGGGACGCATGCGCGATCCAGGCAGCAAGAAGCAGTTTCAAAATGGCTACCGCCTAACGCTGTCTCCCGATTGATTTTTTTATTCCATACGTTCTTACACCGGCTTCGACAAAAACACCGAAACGACCGCGATTTTTATAAATAAAACCTTCATTTGACACGTTCAAAAATAAATAACCCATTTATAATGTGCCAGTGAAGTTTGTGTTACCGTAATTTCAAAAATAGGTGAGTACTTATTCAATTATCTAAGTAATTCTCTTTTTACTCTCATATTATATACTGACCTACAAACAGTGACCTAAAAGACATAATGCGGTGTTAAACACCGTTCCAATTTTGAATTTGACATTTTATTTTTTTTATTAATGTTTCAATGACATAATAATCTAAAGAGGTTTTACCTAATTTTGTGAGGTCTCAAAACTATATATTTGTCCTTGTCGGGCCTGAATGAGGCGATAAGCATGCGCACTCTCTCAAACGATGAGATAATTTTTAATGGATCTAGGCGTGCCGTATACCTAAAAAAGGCGTTTACCTCATTCAAAATATCTACTATATATCGAATAATAAATGTAATATATGATATTAAAATATCGTTAAAGAACTGTGAAACCTAACATACATATAGCTTATAACCTAGAGTGGCACCGATTCCTTATGTCTGGTGAAATTTTCTCTTCCCTGAGAATCTAACCCACATATTTATGTAAATTATATAAGTAACGTTTAAACATAATCCATTTGATAAATATTCTGAGAGAATCACAAAAGAAGGAATTTCTTTATCTCTCACGCCCTTACTCTTAAATCGCCACAGCAATTTCAATATTTGCTATACCAAATATCGAATTTGAAACTGAAAAGTCTTATATCAAACTTTTACTCGGCGTATCTATACGTTACTGTGCCTATTTAATTAGAAGGCCCTATTTGATTGGCGGCATTATAATATTTGTTTTGGATAAGCTAGCTGAATATTACTTGCCAGAAATGATTAATATATCATTGTATCTGTGCCATTGAGTATAAGACACACAAACATGATGACTACATATTTGTAAACTCAAACAAACAATATACATTTATTAAACACACAGCATAAACAATTTCAATTATAATTTCCGCTCGCGAATTCTCTCGCTAATTAACAATAATAAAAACTTTAAAAACATGAAGTCTGAAAACTTAATAACATAAAACTCGTTCTGGTCGTATAATTAATTTTTGTGATATTAAAATAGTGGTGGTGAGCGGAAAAAATTGTCTGGATCCGCGGACCGCTAGTTAGTTAGCTAGTTGTTATATTCAAAATCATTTATGTAACACAATGTACACTTATGAATCTCAATAAAGAAATATATATTAAATGCTTCTAATTTTACATTTACTGCCAGTTCTCAAATCAAGGGCGAACGGACGAGAAGAACTGGCAATAAAGTTTTTTTGTTTTACAAAATGTTTGTAAGGAGCTGCAACCATTACACCATGTTCCACATGACAACTTTAAATAATTAACTATAATAATAAAAAATATAAATATTTAAACGAAAAAAACAAAGATTTGTCCTCTATCAGCAGGAGGCATGGAGAAATAGGAGCACGTACTTACATTCTCGTGGGAACAACACTCAAATACTTAGTCGAAATAACTAACATCACCGCAAACACTAATTCAAGTCCTGTGTCACAAGTCCACTAATCCATGTGACTGGTACACCAAAAGTAGCACCCGTCACGAGTATGACGCATGGCCAGCCATCAGCCCCTATCGATATATTTTAGGGAGAGAGACAACCCGACGCATGGACGCCACTACAAGCATACGATGCGTATGCCCCATTTCTTTAGGACGGACCCATTTTGTCCTTCAAAAGAATTACCATACAACTGTGTATAGTTTTTCGCCTCAGATTGCATCGGTTTCCTTTTATTTTTTATCGTTAAATATCGTTAAATGCTATCAGTCAGATCTGACAGATGTCGATTTGTGGGTCTAAGACACGACCTTTTTCCTCATGAAAAAAATACACGAAAGGTGTGATTGGAATGCATGACCTCAGGGTTGAGAGTCCTATGCTTAAGCCACTAGGCCAACATTGCAACTTTAATAATCTCCAGATGAAGTTGACTTATGCGATCGATACACCCTAATTCCCTTGTGATCTGTGAATATTTATTCACTATTGAGGTATTTATTGACTAAATCAGTTCAGACAGAATACAAAATTCTACACGTACCTATCACTTCGACTTCCGTTCCACAACTAAGCGTTTTTAAGGCAGTTTTAGCTGTCCACTGAAGTATTTCCGAACTAATTCGACTTATGGTCTAAGAAAAGAGCGTCCCAATTCTTAAAAGGCCGACAACGCACTTTCGAGCCCTCTGGCAATGTATGTGTCCATGGGCGGCGGTATAGCTTAACATCAGATAAGCCTCCTGCCCGTTTGCGCAGTTTTATCTAAAAAGCATTGAATTTTTCAATTTTGATCAATTAATCTTTAAATGTCAAATTTATTTATGGGATTTGACATAAGGTTTATAGATATTTAATCTCATAAAAGGTTACACTATATTTATAATCTGTCTTCCTATGTGTGCTGTGTGCATTCCAGTACCAAGGTCTATATCTAGACAATATCAGATATTGGCGAATGTACTCTTTAGGTAAGCTATTAATGAATACGAGAGTCATATCCTGACTCTTATATGAAAATTAAAAACCTCCGGTACAACTGTGGAATAAATAAAATATGACGATAATTAGGGCTGTGCCACGTTTGTAAGCAATATTATAACAGTTGTTAATTAAATATTACAATTATAAACGTCCCTTCGAACTTGGTTTTTAGTCCTCTAATTGATTACTATCCAGGCGATCGGACAGATCCATGTCAGGAACCTCAAATAGGGGAGTGCCTATTCTCCCCTATCCAAGAAAGGGACTTAATTACTAAAGCTAGGTCTGGTGGGCTCAACGTCTCCCTCCGGACTCGACTTCTCGACGACAGCGAGGACTACTGCCGTAAACATACTCAAGTTGGAGCCCGCTGGCAGCCGGTGTTACCTATTGCCTCATTGGAATTTAAAACCAACTAAAAACATAAGCTATTCATTACTTCGACTTGACCAAATTGTGTTTCACTATAAAAAAACATAACTTCAACTGTTACTTAACCTGATGATCAATCCTCTTAAAATAAATCAAATCAAAATCATTTATCATTTAGGTCACACAATGTACACTTATGAACGTAAAAAAGAAATAAATATTAAAGGCTAAATGCTTCTAATTTTACATTTACTGCCAGTTCTCAAGGGCGTAGATCGGACGAGAAGAACTGGCAATAAAGTTTTTTTGTTTAACACAATGTTTGTGGACCATTTCACCATGTTCCACATTACATCTTAAGTAATTAATAGTTAATTAATAATTTAAAAACAAAGAGTAGTCCTCTATTAGCAGTAGACATGGTGAAATAGGAGCATGCACTTACAAGAAAGATTTTCCTAAATTGGTCCAGACGTCTTCGAGCAACCGGAGAGCGTACATAAGAAATAACAAACTGGAAATCTCTTATTAAGAAGTTACTTACTTTTTGAAAGCTTTTGCTCATGCTCTATCATTGCAAGCTGGCAGTAGTCAGCATAAACCTATTCACGGGTTATATGTACTGATAATCTTCTAAATCTGTGATTCAATTATAATATGACGTCATTTGACTTAAGAAAATTCTTAAGTCCTTCAAGAAAAGAGCGTACCGACTTGTAACACGCCGGCAACGCATCCGCGAGCATGCAGAGTGAGTGCCTATGGACGGTGGTATCACTTAACATCAGGTGAGCCTCTTCAGCCCATTGCCCACCCTACAAAAGCTACTTATTTCATATCTACTGGTGAGTTGGCGATAAGAGACTTTACCATCGAAATCCTTATTGAAGATACAGGGTATGCTCGCTGATTTGAAAATCTAAGCTTAACTCCTTTTAACCGTCTTCCTCATTCAGCTCATTAAGTTCGAATTTCAGTTCGGGCTTTGATTCCCAAATAAAACAAGCTACAGACAGCGATCTACTCCAATGTATGATAGTTGGGGATTCTGTAGACAGTAGTAACCAGTTAAAAGTGGTAACTCGTTTAATTTGATTATGTTTCCGTTGGAAGCGTCTAGTTAAAGCATGGAACGCGATCTGCGTTTTGACACGGTTTCAATATATCAAAAACAGAAAATACTTTTTTCGATTACATATTATATTAAGTATGGGATTGTTGTCATATATACGGGCCTAGAGAGTAAATAGTATTTAAATCTTAAAAAAAAACAGTTACGCTACAACCTTTTTAGGTCTGAGCCTCAGATTTCTCTATATGTTTCATGATCATATGTCAATCTAATTGTGTTGGGTATCAGCCTCCTGTATCTGAGACACGCCGTCGTTTTGTTGGGTGTAAGCCGAGCGAGCCAGTTTCCTCACGATATTTTCCCTACCTTACGAGCGACTGTTAAATGCGCACATAGAAGGAAAGCCAGGTCCAGCCGGATTCGAACCTACCACGAAGAAACCACTAGGCCAATACTGCTGCGATTTAATCATTTACTTTTTAATCATTTTTACTATTATTATTTAAAATTTAAATCTAATGCTTGGAATTGATTTTCTCCAGTTCAAACAATTTGTATAACTCAAAACTTGGCGATTAAAAAGAGTGGCGGAGAGTTTCTTGCCAGTTCTTCTTGCCCGCTCTACGCCCTTGACTTGCGAACTGGTAGTAAATGTGATATAAGAATCAATTTAACTTCTTTTCTGTTGGCGTTCATAAGTGTTCTTTGTCCCTATATGAATAAAGTTATTTTGTGTTTGAGTTAACTTATATTATTCATTAGACTTAACAGTTACTTATGACATTTAGGTAACATTTAGATTTTGTCATATATCGATCTATATAATCCTTATTTTTTTACTAAATTCCGTTGCCAAGGTGCACCATTATACAAATTAACAAAAATTATATTAAAACGTATTATTATACAATCAGAGGATTTGGAAATGAAGACATATCTTTGACATTATATAAATGTTAAGTTTTTTATCGGTTACATAACGTCGACGCTAGAAAATCGCATAACCAGCTTATTTTACTATAATAAAAATTTGAAACACGTATTTCAACATTTTATAATTCCAATTGACCGTCATTGCAATGTATAATTCAAATTACCTTTAAGTTAAACCCCCTTGCAATATTTTGTAACACAAAAACATACACCTCTTTTTCTTAATTTATTTATTTTAGTATTGCTTCAGCTACTAATAATAACAGTACAGTATACTCTTGATAATTTAAAACTCCAGACCAGAAGTAAATTTCTAATAACCAAGAGTTCAAAATAACAAGCTTTTAATAAGCTTTTAACCACCAGGGTAGGAGGGGAACTCCAGTAAATAAGAGTTTGATAATTCGTGATTTATTATTTCTATATTATTATTATGTATGAACAATTAAATACAATTATTCACAAATTTTTATTTATGTCTTTTTTGTCTATCATTGTCCAAAGAAATTTAAAAAAAAAACAATTGACAGGTATGTGAATGATAAACACTTCAAATAATAGTGAATAGGAAGGCCCGGACTTCAAATTATCCCACCTTGGCAAGCAATATACTATTTTTTCAACATGAAATTAGCGAGGGGACCAATTAACATTGATTTTGAGAATATCAAATTACGACTGTCAAATTATCGAGTGTCGACTGTATATAATAATCAAAGGGAATAAACATTTACCAAAAACGTAAATGTCAATAACAGTTTAAAAAAAAAGATAATATATCGAAATAAATAAGAAAATAATACAGGTTTACATATTTCTTTTTCCGGATATCAAACCTCTAACCATCTGCGACACGACGATTTGACGACGATGATGACAGATTCACGTGCGAAATGTAGGTCACTAACACTTAAAGTTCAGTGTTCGCCTAATATTAGATTGCTAGGGATGTCATTCGTTTAAAACAATATTTATATCTAAATGTTACATTATGTATGATAACTTCAATAAGTAAGAATTCTGTATAAATCAAAGTGTCAAATAGTAATTTGTTGTAAATTTATATAATCAAAACCAATATTAAAATTTCAAAAGTTTGTATGTAGTGTAAAACTACGACGTATTCTATTTGTTAAGTCTTACAAATCGTTAATTTAAAAGCTATATTTATATGGCTGATAGTGCGGATTTCTATAATTAATCGATCTAAATGTACCAGTTTCTTTGCAAATAAACGATTTATTTATTTATTTACTTTATCTTGATAGCTGGAATTAGGTTATCTTATCACCAAAATATATAAATCGTGCAAACAGGAAAAATAGTATATGTAATTATATTTAATTATATAGATAATTTACACTGTTTCATAAAAAACCTTAGGTAATAAATTATCTTCACGCCCAGCGGACGGCGGAGGTTAAAGTGAGTAAACATACCTGTGATTTGTATTATATAACATGTTTTAGCTATCATTATATTTGTCAGTAGTGCCAGGCTATATAAACCGCGGCTCCATTATTTGAAGTGAAACTTCTTAAAGCGCATGAGGGTAAAATTTTTACGGAACGTCACGAAGGTGTGCAGCGTTTTTGTCGATTTTTTTTTCTTTAATAAAGATATGCTAGTATAATATTGTAGTGCAATTATTCGTACTTTAACACCAATGGTGTTTTTAATATATATCAATATCGTTATTATTTTATTAATTAACAGAATTACCATTTTTTGTGTTGTTTTTGTATTTTTATAAGGGCATTGAACCAAGACCTTGCTAATACCCAGTTGGCTATTTTAGAAAACGTGGGCATAATATTATTTGGTAATTGCTACCATATACATATATGGTGGTATTTCTATATACTTACATAACAACAACTAATTTTAGTTCTGGTTTTTAAGTAGCTTTTGTATCATTCATTAATAAAGAAAGAATTTACAAAGACGTTTCACTTCTGACATGTGCACTTTGTACGCACGCACTTTTTTTTAATGTAACAGGGGGCAAAGACCCAGGCAGCAGGTTCACCCGACGTTAAGTGATAACGTTAGTTTTTTAATCGCCTTAAGTAACTGTGAGCTATTATTGGAAGAATCTGATGATCGATACATAGATCTGTACATCTGGTAATTACGCACCATACTTTCTAACGATACTCGTAATCGAACGTACGTAAACGGCGAAAGACGTAGGTACGTTTAGAAAGGAGACAAGATTCGATAGGATTTTGTCAGACGAGAAAGTTAGTTCACGCTTTTACTTTGTATGAACTGCAGGGTTTAAAGTAAATGTAATCGCGCTAGTCGATGGTAAAATTCAGTGTACAAAGTGGCAATTAAATAAATGGCTTCTTAGTGCCGAAATATAGTGAAGAGTGACAGCCCTAACTCCATTCCCGCGCCTTATAATGTAAGGATATCCTCATTTGGCTAATATTGTTTATATTGAAAGAAAAAATGCTTCCTAGTATCTGTGCGAAATGAATTTGGGGCTTTATTGGTCCCTGATATTGTTTTTAAAGATCCAAAGCAAAATAAACAGTACTTTTAAAAACTCATGCGGTATACGAATTTCATTTCTATTTTATATATTTCTGTGCCAACCAGGAATTATCAAGGGTTCAGGAAGAATCTACCTGAGGACCCTTCGGCAACGCATAGTGCTTAACTTAACCATGAACTCGAATTCATTATTTTTTTGTAACTCTAACGGAAATGCTTTGAAAGGATGAAGGTCTTCAGCATCAGTTCAAATTCACCAAATTGCTTTTCAACAGTATAAAATTATACCCAAATAGCTTCAAGTACTGATAAGTCTTGAGGAATCGGACCCCATCATAGATTCGGATCTCATCAATAATGATTGTCTTAATATTTGTTATTGAAAATATTCCGACGAATCCAGACTCTCACGCAGTTAAAAACACCTAAATAGTAGCCGCTCAATTTTAGCCTATCCAAAGTTATATATATGTACAGTGAAGTTACGCGACCATGTATTGGGACATGTTTATATGCGTGTGTTTTTCTAATAATATTCAT